ACATCATCATCAACGTCAGCATCATCATCGGGACAACAGCATCACCACCATCATCATTTCATCATCAACAACATCGTTATCATCGGGACCTCGATCCAAAGGTCTCCTGCAAACGCCATGCCGGTCATGTCGTCCCAAAACCGAATGACACCATCCGGTGCGCCAGCGAGCAAGCGTTCCAAGAGAGGATGAATCCGTGAGAGGACATGAAGAACCACCCCAGAGGAGAACAAGATCCAAGGTATCACCAAGGCGATCGTGGCAATCACCCAGTAGTTGCGGAGTGCAACCGCCAAGATGACGACGACCCCTGCTCCGATCCAGCGCTTGTCGAGCTCCAAGCGATCGCAGGTGACGAACACGATAATCACCGCGATGAGAGCCAAGAGGAAGATTGCGGGGACTGCTGATTCCAAAATCGGCCCGGCGCAGACGGCAGAAACCTGCAGCATGAAACCACAGATCGTCCGGAGGCAAGCTGCGTAGAAGTGAGTGAAGGGCGGAGGAGCCTGAGAGCCCTGCTGCTCGCTGTGAGCTCCGCCCGGAGGACCTTGCGCTTGAGGCTCCGGAGTGACAGCGCCGGGCGCAGCCGCCATTGCGAACCAGGGAGGCTGAGCAGAGGTCTCGGAAGGTCTCGGGAGGATGGGCGGAGAATAAGAGATTGAGTTCGAAGCTATGATTGTCGTTGGGTTTGTCTTGATCCGAGATACAACGGCCTCTATCTCGCAGTTCTGCCGGTGTTCTTTGGCTTGTCTGTCGAGGAAGCCACGTACACACGGGCGACTCTGACGTGCTCTGGGGCCCCTTTCATCATCTACGACATTTGCGTTGCGTATTTCGTTTTTGCACACGCCGAGAGGGCCATGGTCAACCTGAGGGTGCTCAAGACCAACAGGGCCGGGAGCATCATGCGCCCCAGTGGGTCTAAGGCCCTAGGCAACTCAGCCTTTGTCTCGCAAGAGATTGCGCGTTCTCTTGGCTTCCTAGCAGGACCAGCTGCAGCAGCCGGAGAGGACAAGGTGGACGAGGTGAGCGCGCAGCTGGCGAAGGCTAGCGAACACAACTCGCTCACAACTGGTGCGAGTTTTATTCAGAGGATGCGTTCGGGGCGGGTTGGTACGTCGCTGATGCTATTGACGCTCTGCTACGCAACGTCGGCGAGCGGGAACAACTGCGTTTACTCGATAGAGAAGGAAAGCTCCAGATCCGCGGCAGATCAGAAGGGCTTTGAGTCCACAGCGCGCTCGTGTTTCAAGAAGTGTCGTTTGCAGGCTGCTTCCAACGGAGTTTCGTCATCCTCACCACGGATTGGCGTTATGTATTATTTAAAGGAATCAAAAGTGGTTCCAGCTTCCCTTGGCTTAGCGATGCCCGCAAGCAAGCGCAGGGCGCTTCAGGGAGCGATAAAGCACGGGGTCGGTCGCGGCTCGAATGGGCGCGGGAACATTGCTGAACAAGTTGCTGCACAAGCAGTCCGTACCGTAGCATTTGGGTGGAAGCAGGCAGCCCTTCGCATGACAATGGGGAACCCCACGAGATCTCGGAGGTCGCGACTTGGTCGTTCGGACTCGCGCTGCTCGTTTCGATCACGGCATCCGTCGCCAGTTCAATGGCTCTGAAGAGCTCCTTCAAGTATGAGAACACGATCGACCACCTCTCGACGGAGTTTACGGAGAAGTCTGCGAGAGAAGACGAGTTTCTTAACCTTCACGGTCTGGTGCGTCTTCACTTGCCTCAGGAGAAGCTAAAAGCAGGCCGCTTATACGTGATCAGCCCCAGTCAGGCAGATCTGGCAGGAGTCGAACAAGACTTGATGCAGCTGCGCATCAAGATCTTGAAGAATGTCGACTTCGGTGATCGCTCCTTTGGAGATGGTGACGGAGACAATCCTGGTGGCGGAGGCCCCCCTGCTGGTGAGCAGCGCGGCGATCAAGCCGCAGAGGACTACTTCTCTGGTCCCCACAGCCCATTCGATCCAGGGTTCCCTGGCGGTGAAGACCCTGCGAGCGAGGCAGCAGCAGGCGCCGCCGCGCATGGACCCGAGAAGTTCGCTGCGAAGGTCAGGTTCTTCGACGAGCGCGCAAGGGATGAGAGGGAGATGCGCGCTGCCCAGGAGACGAGGTCAGAGCCAGGCAGGGATGCCGACAAGAAGGACGCAAAGGCGGGGGACAAGGCAGCTCCTTCTGGCGGCGGCGATGGAAGCGCTGATCCTGCTGGAGGAGGCGACGACGCCTCGGACACCGAGAGCAGCGAGGATGAAGAAGGAGAAGGCGACCAGAAGAAGAAGAAAACCAAGAAGGTCGAGACCGACCCCATAGATGCTCCGATGTTGAAGTACCCGAAAGTCTACTACAAGAATGTATCTGGCCGCTTCAGTGACCATCTGGTTGTTCAGATACTGGCCAGTGATCGAACGGTTTTCCAGATGGACACCAATCGCTTCAAGCTCACGAGCGTGTCAGAGTACCTCTTCTCGGCCATCGCAGGGTTCGCCCTATAGGAATGATCGCCAGCGACGACTGGCACGAGAGCCTCTCAGAAGTCTTCGCGAACCACAGGAGCCAGACGACGCCTCCAGCTCGCGTCAATCGGCTGACTCTCCTCCTGGAGCCGGCAGACTGGATGCGCGAGATTCCATATCAGATGTCATCTGCGGACATCGCACGCACTGGCGCCCAGTGAGAGATCGCCTCCTGGACGGACCTCGAGTTCCATGGTGGCGGCACAGGTAGGGGGAAGCGCAGGCGGAGCTGGGAACTACGATGCCGCGTATCCAAAAGATTTTTTAATATAAAAGAAAGAAAAAATCGTCATCATCGGGACACAGTCATCGTCATCATCATCAGCATCATCATCAGAATCATCATCATGATCGGGACACCATAATGATCACCATCATCTCATCATCAACATTATCATCAACATCGTCATCATCCTCGGGACACCATCATCATCATGATCGTCGCATCATCATCATCGACATCGTCACCAACAACATCATCATCATTGGGGCACCATCATCATCATGAACAACATCATCATCAACCTCGCCATTAGCATTGTTATCATCATCGGGACACCATCATCATCACCATCATCATCATCAACATCATCATCATCAGCATCATTATCGCTGGGACACCATTTCCATCAACATCATCATCACCAACATCATCGGAATCATCATCATCGGGACACCAGCATCGCCATCATCCTCAACATAAGCATCATGAGCATCATCATCCTCATCATCGGGACACTATCATCATCATCGACACCATCATCAACATCATCATCTTCATCGGGACACCATCATCATCATCATCATCATCATCTCATCATCATCAGCGTCATCATCATCATCATCAGCATCATCATATCATCATCATCACACTCGCGGGACACCGCGGGCAATGAGCGCAAGTGAACGTGAGGAGGCCGAGGTGGTAAGCCAGCTGGCACGCCAAAGTGGCTGGGCGCACAGGTAGTCATGCGCCGAGCCGAGGCAAACGCCACAGGCGCAGCCACACGAGGGGGGAGCCGCTGTGGGCACCGCACTACAGAGCGTGGCAAGTTAGACAACTTGGCATCGGCTCACGTGGCCTGCCGAGGCCCTGAAACCTGCTAGGCATTATCATTCAGGCCTGCTGGCCTGCTCCCTGCGCAATGGCAGTAAAGACCTGTGACGGCAGCGCCCGCGCCTCCCCGCCGAGGTCGCCGCTGCCCCCCGCCTGCCCTGAGGGCCCAAAGATCTGGCGCTCAAGGTCTTCACCAGGGGCCACGTTCAGGGCTGCAACGCTTGGGATCTGCCGCGGGAGCGGGCCCCTCTGCGGTGGCGGGTGCGTCGGCGGCGGCGGCGCATCAGAGGGCGCCGTCGGCGGCGGCGGCGGGGGGCCCATGATGGCCGCGGCCTCTGGCGGGACTCCCGCTGGCGGTGGCGGCGGGCCCTGGCTGCCGCGGGCCCCGCTCGCTGGCGGGGCGCCGGCGGCGCGCGCGGGGGCGGCGCGCGGGGCGACCCCTGTGCCACCCCCGCCGTCCGAGAGGCTGCCCGCCTTCAGGTTGTGGCGGCTCTCGTAGAGCGCCAACTCCCTGCGCGCCATCTCCGGGCGCTCCCTCTTGGCTTTGTTCCGCGACTTCTGGCTGCAGCCCCCCCATTCTGGGTCGTTCAGTCCCCAGGCGACCTGCGCGTAGAGGTCGGTCCACTCGAACTTGGTCAGGCTCTCCCAGGTGAGCCCTTCCATCAGCACATAGTGGCCCTCCCAGTGTGCCGGGTGCGGAGCGTAGCGCTTGAAGACGGCGCCAACCGCCAGCGGCTCAACCTTGGGCAGGTACCTCAGGAGGTCCACCGCGTTGACCACTGAGATCCCATCCTTCTTGAGCTTGTCGTAGCGCAGCAGGGCCTTCAGGTCGCGGATGTCTTCCTCGGGATGCTCCGCGTGCATGTAGTACGCGTGTGGTGGGTTCGCCTCTTCCTCTATGAACTCGGTGCAGACTCCGTAGGAGGTCGAGCAGCGCGCGCCGCAGTGGCAGTACCAGCGCTGGCCCGTCTCTCCCGCTGCCTCCTGTGCGCATGAGAGCAGCTGTGACCAGCGGTCCGAGCGGATCACCGAGCAGCACCCCCTGGGATTATCCCAGGTCATGTGGGCCGCGCACTTGTAGTACATGTTGAACGTGAAGCCCTTGCCACGGTAGAACTGGTCCGTGTAGGCGCCCATGCGGCGGTAGGCCTCCTGCGCCGCGGTGTTGCCCTGGCACTCCTCCTTCCAGGCACGTTTGTGTCCCAGGTGGGCATCTGCGGTCCCCGAGGCCTCCAGGACACCCCTCTTCAGCCTCCCCACATCCACCTCCGCCTCCTCGTTCAGCGCGTCGAGCCACTTCTGGGCTCCGCCCTGCGCCTCCGCGCCCCTCACCATGTCCTCCTTCTTCTCCAGGATGGGCCCCAGGCCGCCCAGCATGTGGGCACGCATGGTTTCGAATTTGAGGACGCCATAGGCCCGCGCCATGCGCTTCAGCGACTTCTTGGATAGGCCGAGCCGCAGCAGGGGCTCGATGTCTGTGACCTCTTTCACGGCCTTGACCTCGGTCAGCTGGAGCTCCTGGTCCTCCGCGCCCATGTCGGGCTGAGGGTCGTTCTCCTATTCGCTGGGAGGTTCTTCCTCGAGGGGCGGGGGTGGCGCGCGGGGCGGCCCTGGCACCACCCCCACCTCCCTCGCCATCGGGCGGCCCACCTCCCTCGCCACTTTTTCCGTGGCTGGGGGGGGCGCCCGTGCTCTCGGGGTCGATGCCCACCCCCACGCCCTCCGTTGACCTCCGCAGGGCAAGCAAGCCGTCCTCTGAGAGCGCGAACCCCACCAGGATGTCCATGCCCTCCTTGATGTAGTCGAAGCTCGCACGGAACTTCGCCACCCGCTTGGCGGCATGGTCAATGGAGCCTGGGCCCTTGTTCGCGCGCGCAGCGCGCGTCACGGCCTCGTGCTCGGAGATGCCCTGCGTCGTCGCCACGCAGTTCGAGCACATGTACAGCTTGTACTGCCCCTCTTTGCCCCTCCTCAGCTCAGGGCATTTCTCGCTGTGCTCTTTGGCCTCCGCATAGCGGCGCATCTCCGCGCAGCTGAACTCGTCCACGCACTCCACCGCCATGATCTTCCAGTCGCCCAGTGCCGTGCACCTCCGACACCATCCCAGGCGGCGCGGCGGGACCCAGCATGCGCCCATGCAGTGGACGTAGCCCGCCTCAGCGTAGTCCTCCTCTGTCATCATCTCTGCGTCTTCGAGCGCGGCTGGTGCGCCGTCGCTCGACTGGGGGGCCTGGCCGTAGACGGCTTTGTTGCTGCGTCGGCGGTGACGTTTGCCCCCATGGCCGCTGAGGGCACCCGTGGTCGCCGCACTCGGGGCTTCACTGGCGGTCCCGTCGTCCACGGCGCGCTCGCCGTCAGCAGTGCTGCGCGCCCCACGGCCGCCACGGTCGCCCACAGCATGCTCCCTCAGCTGAAGGTTGTGGAGAGCGAGGGTGGGCGCGCCCAGCCCACGGCGCTGCTCCGCGGTGAAGTCGGCATACGTGGCTGCCGCTGCCAGGGCGGCCGACGTCACTGGCACCGCCGCCGATGCAGGCATCGCCGAGGCGCCATCGGAGGCGGCGGCACTGGGGGCGGCCCCCGCACCGCCGCCTCCATCGGCGTCCTCAGCGGGGGTCGCTGATTCCGTGTGCACTGTCGGTGCCGTCCGAAAGGTCGCCGCCTCGGACATCATGTCGAACTCCTCGTCATCGCTCTCCGACAAGCTTACCTGCTGAACAGGGCGCTGCGTCGGCCTTGATTTGGAGGTTGGTGCCCCCCCCCCCCCCGCGGCGCACGTCTTGGCGGGCCAAGGCGCCGGCGCAGGCTTCGAGAACATGGGCGCCATCACTTGGTCGGGCGGATGGCACGGGAGGCGCAGCTCGAGAGAATGCGCAAGACAGGCACTCACGAGCCAAACAGCTGACGGGGAAGAGAGGGGAAGGGGAGAGGCTGTACACCGAACCAAAATGGGGCGGCCAACTGCCAAGGCGGGACAAAGGTAGCACAGGAAGACTAAGGGCTGAAACCAACGGCTCCAGGTGCGTGGGGCCCGTTCGTTGCGCTGGCGGAAAACGGCCTGACCCCCGTTCGGGACCTTGGACGGGCAGGAGAGGGGGGAGGGGGGCGAGGAAACCACGTCGCGGGCGGGCGACAAAGCGGACGGCGGGCCGCCGACGGCCCCAGGACCCGCGGGGCGGCCCCGATCTTCAACGCCTCTTGACGCATCTTTAGCCAGCGGCCTCGAACAGGTGCTATTGGTTGCATGAAGGCTCAGCCCCAATGGGTTGCGGGAGCATCTCAAGCCAGAGATTAAGAGCAACACAAGTGTGACATGCCGAGACCACAACATGCGCAAAGCGGGGAGGCAACACAACGTGGCGTGCAGAACAAACATGACAATGCAAGAGCGCACTGTGCGCGCGACAAAGGAACTGAACAATGCCGTGCACACTGCGGTTGTGATTAATTTGTTTACGACTGATCAGGGCAGCAGGAAAGGGAGTGGAGAGAGGAGGGTCAGTAAACACACGCAAATGGGGTGGGACCACAGCTAGTCAAGAACGAACGCTCGGGGCGGCCCCATGCATCCAGCCCCGCTGCGCCCTACTATTACTACTACTACTACTACTACTACTACTACCACTACTACTACTACTACTAGTACTACTACTACTACTAAGAATAATAATAATAATAATACTATTACTACTACTACTACTACTACTACTACTACTACTACTACTACTACTACTACTACTACTACTATTACTACTACTACTACTACTACTACTACTACTACTACTACTACTACTACTACTACTACTACTACTACTTACTACTACTACTACTACTACTACTACTACTACTACTACTACTACTACTACTACTACTACTACTACTACTACTACTACTACTACTACTACTACTACTACTACTACTACTA